AACTACTGAGTTTATTAATTACAAATAATTAAATCTTTCCTGATCATAATATTTTAATATATACGCTCTTTTCCTCTCTGTTTCTCTTGTAAGTATTTATTTGTACAATATAGTATGTACGTAACTTTTTAAGTTTATAAGTCGGATAACAATATATGTCGGTTTTGGAAATATGTATGCTGAATATGAGCATAGAAATCTATCTTCTAATCTTTAATAAAACAACGCAGTCCAGATGGCTGACATTAAGGAATATATTTTTGTCCAAGATATTAATTTTTTGACTGATGTTAATTAGACTCTGGTCATAGGAGGTTCGATATCGGTTTTAATAAAATTATTATAATATTATAGTGTATCTATAAGATTAAATATTGTTATTAACAAATAAATCATAAAAAATATTTTATCTCTAGTGAGATCGACTCCAAACTGTGGATAAAAATTTTGTGATCTATGACTCTACCAACATGTACTCTCTATGATTTATTGTTCATGAATAATTTAAGAACACAGTTCACGGCCCTAAAGCATGCTGGCATTATTGAAAAAAGTTTTATCTATAGTGATATTAAAATATGTATGAATGATAGCTAACTAAGATATATATAAGATATATTTCTTAGTTAGCTAGCTGTTAACTATGTCTCTGTCTGTACAAACTTTAATTCTTTATTTCATCCCATTAATTTTTTTTGAAAACATGGCTCGACTTCATTATACATCTATGGCATATTTACTAACATCGAGCGGCAACACCGTTGCCTAGTTACGATCCGTTCTAATAAAAATAACAAGCCTGTTATTCAATACCGAATCGCTTTCTTGTATATATATCAATTGTAAATACTTCATCAATATACATAATGTGTCACAACTAGTGTCATCTCTTCACCTCCCTCTTTCCTGCTGCTACAAGGAACACTCGATACAAAAAATAGTGGTCTCATAATAGTCGCTAAACATCTTAATGTAAAATTTAATTAAAATCTAATCAGCCATACTGTCCTAAAAAACAAACAGTTTGATAGAAACACTTTCGCATTTCTAATATGGATTAGCAGTTTTGATTATTTTTATATACTTACTTTAAAAAAATAATAGTTTATATAATAAATTTAATTAATGGAAACTAAACTAGAATCTGTATATCATAAATGACTGTTAATTAAAAAGTAAAACATGCAATTAAAACACTATTCTTCAATTTTTCATTTCTGAACGACTCCAATTTACAATTATTTCGGTGTGTTTGTTTAGATACCATAAATCGTGACTAATTATATATGATGTAATCTCAGCGGTGATCTCTCGTTATTAGTAGTTGATTATGAGTGGACACGATGTAACTTCCATCGTTGATTACAATATACGAGTATTGTTCAAACCTTATACCTTTTTATGAATAAACCTGTTAGTTTATGAATTTTCGGGGCTTAATTTTTTGTATTAATAACTAGTCAATATAAATCCCTTCTGGTGGTTAGCGATCAGTGTGGTCCAGATAAGAGAAGAACCTGCGCAACATCCAATAATATGTTGGCAAATGTCATCTAGATAGTTTGCATCATTATCTTCCTTTACGCCTGTCTTAAAACGACATAATGTATGTTGTTGCCTTCTTTGTGGCGACTATGTAAATCGTTCCTGTATCTATTAATATAAGAAACTATTTATACGTAAGACATAATTTAACGACCTTGTTGACCTAACGGTTTAGTATACCGCTTTGCTTCCGATGGTCGCGGTTTCGATTTCTCGTACGACACAAACATTTGAATTCATGAGTATGATTATCATCAATTAGGGTGTTTTCTACACTTATTACTTATGTATTTACAAAAAACTGTATCTATATATTTATATCAATTGTCCAGTATTTTTTTATGATAATGGTATGGTTCTCCCGTCTGCACAAATGGTTTACGTTGGAGAGGCACCTTAGTTGTCCAGTTCTCATAACAAGGTCTGTTTAGCATAGACAATAGATAGCTTAGGAAGACTAGACCGCGCTGTGTGAATTTTCCTGTTTCCTGATATTATAATTATTACAAACTTCGGGGTTGTAGAAAAGGAAAAACGTATAGCAGGAATTGAATTTACTGAGTGCTTGTTACTATTGATTCCAAAGTAAATATTAGTTCATATATTGTTTATGGAAACGGATTGAATGGCACACAAGCTGCCAACCCACCCGGTAGTAAGTGGCAACTGTTGCCTATATATTGTACATTAAGAGAGCCACAGATATACGTCATGTAATGCTCGTTGTACCAATTAAGCATTGCCATTCTGGAGGACAAAAAGCTATGCCTCTCTACCCCATAATAACAGTCATGTTCTTATTGTCAATTTGAATTATACCTTATTAAAGAAATCGGTTTGCGACTGGCTGAATAGGTAAGACAAAGGACAAGACTACGCATATGACTTTATACAAGGCCTACCTCTGGTAAACAATTCACCATTGTGTCTATGATACCCACAATATTAAATCTTTATTCTTGTTGACATATAGACTCAATTAATAACACAAACAATACCAGCGCTGTGGCAAATTACTTTTGACACAATAATGTCGAGTGGTGATCACATTGACACCGATGTATGAGAATGCCGTTGAAATGAAATGTTGTCAAGAAACTTTCATTAGATCATTCATTCAAAAATTTGCATACAATCAATCTATATATCTCATATTTCATAACATAATGACACCCAGTTCATGACAATGACTCTATTAATCCCCTGGTAACCTTGTTAACCGCTTAATATTACAACGTGTGGGCATTATAATTAATCTGCTATTAAGGTTAATCTTGACTGTTTATTAATAACATGACTAAATTTATTTTATGCTCTATAAACATAATATAAAATTCATATAAACTTTTAAGCTATTAATCTTACAATATTGATAATAATAGATTGAGAAATGCCAGTTTATTTTATCCACAGACCAGAAAAACAATTCTTTCAATACTTAGGTGATTATTATACACTTTTAACATGAATTTATTAGTGACTTTATTAATGAAGACTTTGCGATATGGCGACCTAATATATCATAAAAATTATAAAAAAAATATTTATATAGGATAACTTTGAATACGTATGCAGAAGTAAAATTATGCATAAAATAACCTAACTAATCTGTTTTACAAGTTTCTCCATAACCGCTGGCAAAATCGGTACACCATTACTTTACTAATATCTACTATGAACTCAACTTTGATTGTATGTTTGCTACTATATCGTATACATATAGTATTCTTTTTATCCAAATTCACACAATCGGGGCTACATAATACATACAGCTAGTAAAAATAAAGTCATTAAATCTGAATTCGCTACACTGAACATGTTACTTAAGGCAACTTTTCTAGTTAATAACAAAGCTAAACTCAAATTTGACGATGAAACACCAACTGATTGTAAACTGAAACTTTGCACAAACTAAAGTGAACTCTAAGTTAACTTCTTTGAAAACGTAATTTCTATCTGAACAACTTTGAAAACTTATTTAAGATGGTAGACGATGCTACGTATGATAAATTTCATACTATATGCACCGTATTACTTATATATGCATAGAATATTCGTATGTACTGCCTTATTATAGATAATTTATGTTGCATTCAGATCAGGTATATTACAGTCTCTATTAGGGATGTCACTTGTACAAGGCTCCTCGTACAGGTACGATGTTTCTAATCTTTAGTACGAGGACATCTTTATTCTCACAAAAATTACGAAATTTGTTATAAAAGGAACATCTTTAATATCACACATCAATACAGACCCAAATTTAAACAATGTGAGATAGTTCTATGTACAAGACTAAATGTTTTAAGATTGGTAACCCTGGCATCTATTGTGAACGAGTTAGCATCATTCTATGCATGCGAGAGCAGCATATACTCCTATATATAACCACGAGATTAACATAAATAATATATACAATATAACAGAAACTGTATCACAAGCCGAAATCCAACTATAACTCCATGAAATATGGATCGAAGTATGCAATGAATAAATATCGAAATATATTTTATTACGCAAAAAAACGCGATTATTTATCTATCATACGACATTTAATAACTACTAACCTCGGATTGTAGGTAAACCTTCGAACAATAGTTACTGTTATGAAAACAGCTAACGTAAAATTTTGAATTCAGCTGTCTTTAGTGGACTGTATTTACGACAATTGGATTTGAGCAAGATTGATAATTTGGAAGGCACTCACCTTGTACTGCGAGGATTGCCGGTTCGGTTTCAGCAAGGCTTCCCAGAACTCCGGGCTTGTCCGAACTTACCTTTTGAACGGGTTACCTGTTTACCGCCAAAACCGACAATAGGTGCTTTCCAGTATCAACTTGCGTTCCTTTATTATTTCGTTAAGAATATTTAGTTAAGAAATCTATATAAAATAATTTAGTTAAGAAATCTATATAAAATATCGACAATTACGACAATTACGACAGCGATCATCAGAACACTTTTTTCGACAACGACAAAGGCGAAAAAACTCCCACCCTCGTAATCTCTTTTTATTTTATTTTTTTTTTTATTATTTACGGCATTGGATATCGCGATAATGTTGCCGTGCGTATTATTGTGAATAGTGAACATTCCGCCCACCTAAATGCAACGTATTTAAAGCGACATAAACAAAAATTAAATGTGACAACAAAATAAAAACTATGGATCCTAATATTGATTGACATATTTTTAAACTAATTTTAACTAACTAGTGCGGGAAAAGAAAAACAATAATAACAAACAAAAAAAAAGAATTACACATTTTAATTAGCCATAGGTAAAGGACAAATTTTAACAACTGGTCGTTTGTATTGACCAGTCGCAGTTTTAACTGTCACTACCCTACAAACACCATCAATTCCTGGGTGTAGAGCGACAATGCGACCCATAGTCCATTTTAAAGGACTCGATTGTTCATTTATGATTAGTACTAATGTGCCAATAGTTATAGTTTAATTTTTAGTGTAATTTTTGTTCCATTTAGCTCTTTGATTAAGCGTATGAATATATTCACGTTGATAACGGCGCCAAAAGTCCTGATGCATTTTTTGAACTAACTTCCATCGTTGGAGAACGCTAATAGATTGATTAGTAATATTCTCTTCTGGAAGGGACGACAAGGGTTCTAATGTCAGAAAGTGACCTGGTGTCAAAACCGACAGATCATTAGCGTCACAGCTAATAGGCGATAGAGGTCGAGAATTCAACATAGATTCTATTTGTGTTAAAACTGTATAGAACTCTTCAAAGGTTAATCTTTGAAGACCAATAACTCGAGCTAGATGAGTTTTCACCGATTTTATACCCGCTTCTGCTAACCCATTAAAGTGTGGACTACCAGGAGGGCTTAACGAGAATTTAATTTCCTGAGTTTCTGTTACCTTTTTCATAACCGAGTCAAGATAATTGCTAGCCCCAACGAAATTTCTCCCCTGATCCGACACAATATGGCTACAACGACCTCTTCGCGCGATAAACCGCTTCAACACAGCTAAAAAGGCTTCAGTAGAAAGTTCCGACGCCAACTCGATGTGGATAGCTTTTGTGGCAGCACAAATAAAAACACAAATGTAACCTTTATACGTTTTTACGCCACGACCCCGACCTAATGCAATATCAAAAGGACCCCCGTAATCAACCACAACGTTCGAAAAGGGTTTTATCTGATTAACACGATATGTAGGCAGATTTCCCATAAGAGGAGTTGGAGCTGGTTGAGGTTTAACACGAAAACAATTTACACAATTAGCGATCACAGAACGAATCGCTCTCTTCGGCGACAAAATCCAAGAACTTTGCGCGAGAATATTAAGGAGAGTCTGTGCACCAGGGTGCATAAATCTCTGGTGACAATCTTCAATTATAAGTTGTGTGAGACGATGATTGCGAGGTAATAGAAGGGGATGTTTGATACTATAATCTACTTTAGCATTTGCCAAGCGTCCGCCCACCCTGACGAAACCAGCATCATCCAGAAATGGCGACAACTTACGAAAGTTTTTGGGAAGAGAATTTAACCGACCATTCCTAATCATATCAATTTCCTTAGAAAATGTATGTAACTGCACGTGTTTAATCAAAAACATTAAAGATTTGTTTATTTCTAACGACAATAAAGGACCAACAAAAATTTTATCAAAATTGTTTTTACGAGAATTATGAATGAATCGAAAAGTAAACGACAATACACGTTTCAACTTTGATAACGACGAGAATTTATTTATTAAGTAGTCAATAAAATGGACTTCAGAAGAAGTATGAAGACACATAATCTTCTGCTCTGCTTGCACATCAGCAGAAGATGGAATTAATGTAGACTCCGGCCAGTTTTCGTCTGGTTCCGAAAGCCATTTAGGTCCATTCCACCAATTCCCATTCTTAGCTAGCTCAGCTGGATAAATGCCACGTGATCCGACATCCGCAGGATTAAAATAGGTACTGACATGTCGCCAACAATCAGGAGAGATAAGTTCCTGAATGTGACTAACTCTATTAGCAACAAATGTATGCCATCTGGACGGGCAGGATTTTATCCACGACAAAGCAACACTAGAGTCAGACCAAGCAACGATATCTTTTATTTCACACAGAGGTTTTAAAGCACTTAACACCGAACTCATTAAATCTGCTAACAAAACTGCAGCTTGCAATTCCAGTCGAGGTAACGATAATTTACGAAGTGGTGCAACCTTAGTTTTTGCACAACAAAATTCAACAGAATAATGACCATTTGTATCGACAGACCGACAGTAAATAACAGCACAATATCCACGTTCTGAAGCATCACAGAATCCATGGAGTTGTACGGAGACGAAAGAACCTATCATACGACGGGTAATTGAAATAGACGACAAAGACGAAAGTTGTGATTTAAATTTCGACCACTGCTTAGCTATTTCCAGGGGTACATCGCTGTCCCAAGAAACACCTGAAGTCCAGAGTAATTGCATAAGAAACTTAGCATAAAATGTTACAGGACCGAGAAAACCCAACGGATCATAAATACGCGCAATATCTGATAGTATGACACGTTTCGTGAGCCGCCTTTCTTCAAATTCAGCAACCCTAAAAGTAAAACAATCTAAATTTGGTATCCACAAAAGCCCTAAAATTTTAAGTGTGATATCCGAAGTCTCTTCGAAGCTCTTAAATTCCTCTGAATACAAATCAGATGAATCGAGATCATTCAAGAAAGCTTTGTGGTTAGAAGTCCATTTTCGTAAATGGAACCCATTCAACGACAATATTTTAGTTAGTTCTGATCTTATGACTAAACACTTTTCGATGGAATCAGCTCCTGACACAACATCGTCAACATAAATATCACGGCTAAGCACAGCTGATCCCGTTGGAAACTCAGCAGCGGCATCCTCAGCGATTTGAGCAATAGTGCGGAGTGCTTGATAAGGAGCAGAAGATACGCCATATGTGACTGTAAGGAGTTTATAGTCACGAATAGGCTCATCAGGAGACGATCGCCACAACACACGTTGATACTCCGAATCCTCATCAGAAATCAAAATTTGACGATACATTTGTTTAATGTCACCTGTAAACACTACAGCGTGACAACGGAAACGCAACAATAAATCAGTAATATTTAACTGAAGCTTAGGACCAGATAAAAGAGTGTCATTTAAGGAGATACCATTAGTATCCTTAGCGCTGGCGTCAAATACAACACGAAGAGGAGTAGTCACGGATTCAGGCCGCAATATACCATGGTGGGGAATATAGTAAAACTTACCAAGATTTTCAGATGGAGGTTTCACTTCCAAGAGATGCCCACAATCTTTATAATCTTGCATGAAAGAACTATATTGCTGGCGAAACTCACAATTTCTCTTTAATTTATTTTCCAACGACAAAAACCTTTTCAGGGCTATATCTCGAGAATTAGAAAATATAGGTTTGCTATTAGGATCGACAAAAGGTAATGGAACAACAAACCTACCTTCCCGATTACGACAAGACTTTTCAACAAAATATTACTCGCATCGATTGTCTTCCCTAGATAAAATCTTTGGTAACGATGCGATACTTTCCGTCTCCCAAAACCTTCTAATACAATTATCTAATGACAAATTCGATATATTACATTGGGAAGTATCTGTTATAAGGAAACAATCCCCACGTGTATGGTGAAAACTATCAGTGCCGTTACATTCACCCATTAAAATCCAGCCGAAGACCGTCTGCAATGCACACGGCTGCCCTGCGACACCTCTTTTCAAACCAGGTAGTAAAGATGATACAAAAATACTAGCGTTCAATAAAATATCAATTGGTCCTGGGCAATCGAAATCAGGGTCAGCAAGTGGCAATTTTTTTATATGGTACCAATTTGAGGCATTAATATGCTGACTTGGTTGATCGGCACAAATTGACGACAACACCAAAGCTTTGAATTTAAGTTCACTTGATGAGAAGGAATTCGTCGGCTTTATTTCACAAACAGATAATCCAAGTGGTTTTGCTAAAGAATGACCAATACCATTGATTGACTGATTTGTTTTAGTTATAGGCAATTGTAACCACTTGGCACAGGACTCCGAAATAAAATTACAAGCACTTGCGCAGTCTAATAACACACGAACGGTTTGATAATTACCCTGTCCATCCTTTATTAAAACTTTAGCTGTAGAGAATAAAACTGTTTTGCTATGACTAATATTTGCTATTGAAGTCAAAACAGTACTACTTGAGGCTTTTTCATCGACAACAGGAGCTTCAGGCTTAGGTTTATCAAAATGCAACAATGTATGGTGAGAATAATTACAGGCTTCACAACGATAAGTAGCACGACACTGTTTTAGGGTGTGATTATTCGAGAAACACAATAAACATAAACGATTTTCTTTAACAAAATCGAAACGTGATTTAACACTCAAGCTTATAAAATTTTCACATTTAGCCAGAACATGCTGTCCTTTACAAAATACACAAGCTGTATTAGACACTAAAAGAGATGATTTTGCCTTAAATTTTAATTGATTACCAACTTTGTATAAATTCGGATTAAACTTTGAACCCAATGACAACGAATTAACACTACTTAACTCTAAAGCCCTATAGTGTTTTTCAATAAAATTTTGTAGATGTTCAAACTTAGGTATACTGTGAACATCTTCTGTATTCTGTTCAAGTTGGAATGCTTCCCTTGTAGATTTATCCAATTTTGACCACAACAAATGAAACAACATAAAATTCTTATCCGGCAATTTATATTTATCTAGAATAGCCAAATTTTCTGAAAATGTACGATAAATGCGTTCAAGTTCTGAACTGGTCTTAAATTTAATGGGTTCACAATGTAGCAACTTCTCATAATAAGCTGTAGCTATTTGTCGCTGTCTGTTATAATATTTCAAAAGAGTTTCATAAGCATTTAGATAATTTTCATTAGTGAGAGGATAATTCTTAATCAAATCGTAAGCTTTACCCTGTACACTTGACAATAAATAATGTAACTTCTCCACATTTGATATATTCGTCCTATTATGGATAAGCGAATTATATAATTGAATAAAGGAAATCCAATTATCCAAATTACTATCAAACGGTTTTATATTGATTTTGGGTAATTTTACGGAAACTTGTGGTTCATTGTTATTAACATTTATATTAGAAATAGATTTTTTATCTATAGAATTCATTTCTACAAATCTTTGTTTAATTTGTTTCATCTTTGTATCAAACTTAACTGTAATTTCAAGTTCATTGGTACGCTCTAAACGGTTCAACGATAACAACAATTTTCGCTGCGACGAGTGAAATTCGTTAGATAAATCCCTAAAATCTACTTCAGAGAGCCCTAACAAATCAGATTGCTCCATAATTTCCAATCTCATTACCGCATAATCACGAGAAATTCGGTTTATATCACCAGTATCAGATTCAATGTCTTTATTAGTTGCCATGGTATAAATACTCCAAATTAATAAAAAAATTAATTAAAATCAATAAAACGATAATTACGTGAAATAATTTACAATTAGATATTTTTACCCAATAATACGCAACGAAAACAAAATCGATCGATTTAAATTTAATATAATCGATATGGCTGTATGTGGCTGGTCTATGCCTCACGAAAATTCAAATTATTAAAAAAGTTAAGTTACACTATAATAAATTATCTACCTTCAATTACAATGACTTTTATTGAATTATATTAAAACGAACGCAATAATAATTTATTTTACTCGACAAAATGTGTAAAACAAATTAACAACAATAATTATTATGTCGCCTATCAAAACTATCCGGCTGAAGGGCCAAAAAATGTTATGAAAACAGCTAACGTAAAATTTTGAATTCAGCTGTCTTTAGTGGACTGTATTTACGACAATTGGATTTGAGCAAGATTGATAATTTGGAAGGCACTCACCTTGTACTGCGAGGATTGCCGGTTCGGTTTCAGCAAGGCTTCCCAGAACTCCGGGCTTGTCCGAACTTACCTTTTGAACGGGTTACCTGTTTACCGCCAAAACCGACAATAGGTGCTTTCCAGTATCAACTTGCGTCCCTTTATTATTTCGTTAAGAATATTTAGTTAAGAAATCTATATAAAATATCGACAATTACGACAATTACGACAGCGATCATCAGAACACTTTTTTCGACAACGACAAAGGCGAAAAAACTCCCACCCTCGTAATCTCTTTTTATTTTTTTTTTTTTTTTATTATTTACGGCATTGGATATCGCGATAATGTTGCCGTGCGTATTATTGTGAATAGTGAACAGTTACATTGGTTTCTTTTTTTTAAAATAAGAATTATTGTCAACATTAATAATATCATCATACACGTCATACCCACTATTAGTAACGAGAAGTAGTGGTTCCATAGCATGACTTACCAAATTCAAGCCAACTTCAATACTATCTTTCCTTCAAACTATAGTATTTAATTCCTGGTGAATTGATCACGATGGACGAACTCATTTTACCATCCTTTACTGGTGACCAGCCAACGTATATATATCGTTAGTACACAGGTGGGTGCATGATTCCATAAGAAAACCCTTTCATATTTACCCAGGTGAATAGATTCACATGAACTTGTCACGATCCACTACCAGTTATGAATAATATAGTAGAATAGTTTGTCATAAATATTTAAAAGTATACAAGATTGTGACAATGTTATAAAAGAAAATTAGTAGTGCCTGGTGAAATTTATCATGTGTCTCCCAGTATTGCTTCAAATAAAATTACAGACATAAATCACTTGTTCCATGCAATAGAAATAACAACAAATCATTACAATAATACACATCGACAATAATTCCCCATTATTTATCATGTCTCGAAATAAACGGTGAGTAGAAAATATATCAAGGAAGAACGACCCTACTAATAATATTATTTATTTATTTGTTTAAATGTTGTTAATTTGTCAAAATAAAATAAAATTTGTTAAACATAACATTAAAACTTTAAATTACAACAGAAGCATAATTAACAGTGGAATCTGAAATAATATTACAAAACAAAAAGTGACCGTTTTTTATATTTCAGTTAATAACATGGCCAGTTAAAAATATTAATGCCATGTAACTTACGTAACATAAATGGACAATAATAACATATATTGTGAATACTACAGAACCTTTACTGATGCCCCAAAGCATATACGCTATAAATCATGGCATTCTAAAAAAATAACGTCATAATCAACACATTCAAAGGTGTGATCATGTTAGATACAGTAGAAAAGCCACAATCAACTGTGGTCGACTCAAGGTCAACCAGAAGTGACCAGAACTAAAACCACTCATAGATGAGTCTCTATGATCTGTGCCGCTCAGGAATTTGAATTAAGGAAAAATAACTAAAAGGTAATTATCATGAATGCTAAAGTTGTTGTTATTAAGATTTAGCGATAATATGTGAAAAGGTTCAACATAAAATATAGAAACCTTTTTCATTTTGAAGTCCGTTATTAAGTCAAACCGAAATAGTTAAATTCGTGCACAATTTTATTAATATTGGTAATATTGTTATTTAAAGTAATTAAGTTAAAGACAATGATATACTCTTAATCAATTTTTTAAGGGAACGGAAATTGACTCGATCGTAACTCGGTAGAAACCTCAAGATAACCATAGACGAATTAATATAAAATATGTTTGCCTGCAGCGATTAATTGTCTAAAACAAACATATCATGCCGTCACTTCCTATCTCTTATAAACCCATAAATCACACAATGTCCTAAAGTCAACTTACACTTAATCTTTCTGCATGATTAAAGTAACATAAGACAAACGGAAAATGCAAAAAAAAAATCATTCACAATGTACGGAACGGTTAATGAGAAGTTGACACGCATATCGTGACTGAAAACTAACAGTGGCCGTTCCATTGTAATTTATTTCTCTAGTAAGTGAGCAATCAGTAGATAATCATAGCATCCAGTTGTATGCAGCTGTATTTGCGCCTTTATTGCACCGTGTCAGGGTTGCCATATATATATAACATATATTTTGTAAAATAATAATTCTTTTTCGGTTGACTTCAAAAACGAGTTTATGGTATATCTAGAACTAGGTTATACGTTTTGCATGTATTATGATGATTTTTTTTCGTATTGAAATTAGTGTTTTTTATCTATCGTTAAGTAATTTAAAATACAACAAAATATATTATTATACGAAGTCTCAAAAATGGCATGGATGGTAAACAACGCGTACCTGTAATAAGCAAGGCTATTGATACTCGGAATCTGGGAAGATATTAATACTCAGAATATACTAGCCTACTCAGTTATATGTCCTGACGTGAAGACAGCTTGAAGTCTAGTTGGTCGTCTGCCATACTGGGACAACACCGAAATAAACTTAAACTAACTTCCAATAATAGCAAAGCCACAGTAGTATGTGATGGAATGAACTGTAGATTGAGTATATAAATATAATAAATAGTACCTGTGAATTATTCTTGAAATTATAGGAATACTCTGGAAGCCTATAAGTGTTTACCAGAGGTAGACTTTGTGTAAATTCGTATGCGTAGATCCTCTGTCTCACCTATTTTAGCTGCCATGTAGATTGTTTTGTAAATTGTTCTTATTTTGGTTAATAAGACAATTACAAGATTCGGCATGACATCTTAGGCTTCCGGAATAGCAACGCATCAGGGGTATCACAGGTATAATACGTAATTTAAGTTATCAGAGTCCTCATATTGTATTACCTAGAACTAACTTCAACTGTTCAACAACTTTTTAAATATTGTAATTTTATGGTATATACAAACAGAACATTATTATTATTACTAGCTACTCGCCCCGGCTTCGCCCGAGTGTACATGTATTATACATATAAACCTTACTCTTTAATCACTCTATATAATTAATTTAAAAAAACCGCTTCAAAATCCGTTGCGTAGTTTTACAGATTTAAGCATACATAGGGATGGACAGACAGCGACAGCGACTTATACTATGTAATGATCACGGGTGGTACATCATAACGAGATGTCCGTGGTAGTCTTCATGAATAAAAGCAATAATTACCACTTACCATCAAATTGACTTCCAGTCTGTTTTCCATTAGAGCTACATGAAATAAAGTCTTAAAATAGCACAGCAATAGCACGGAAGTGGCTGAGGCTACATTCATAAATTAGAACTAGTGACCCTGCTTACTACGAGTTATTGTGCCAATTATAATTTTTTCATAAAACTTAGGTTAAATCATTCATTGAACTTAATGATAAGGTAGTATTCTACTTATATTCATAAAAAAAGTAATCCAATTAGTACTTTTTTATTGCAAATAAAACTCCTAATTTTTATAATATCATTTAGATAAATGCCATTAGTACTCAAGTCCGTTTGTCTGTAACCAAATGTGACCTGGCGTGAAGGCAACCAACTTAAACTTTATCAAAGTTTAAGTTTGTTTGCTACACTGTAACTTTGAAAGTTACTTAAAGTAATTATCCACTGTTAACTTTAATATACAGCCGAAAGAAATAGGATTAGTCACTTAAATAGATTGATAGAATATAATATTGTCTTTAGAATTGAAATTACAAATAAACTCTTAAAATCAATTCCAATATACCGATATTGGAATAATAATATTTCGCTTGCAAACGTGCACTGCAACACTAACGATATACTCGTACTCTTCATTAATTCAATACTGCTTGATCATTAACGAATTATTAATGAATAAGGTAAGGTTACCTTGGTTATATTTTGTAATCAGTTTATCCAATTTAACTTTACATTGAAGTACTTAGAAAAGCATGTTTGGAACATATAAAATGTGGAACGATTTGTTTGTCTGTATTTATTCATATTATATGGAGAAAAGATTCGAGTTCTGGTATGTTTGTAATGTATAAACTACAAAATATTTGACATGTTTTATATAAACTTTCGTCTATCAAAGATATGTAATCAACGAATAATATTAATTACATTATACTTAAAAAAACTAGTTTCTTATTATACAGTAGTTTCTTATTATATAATTACTTCCAACCAACGCTAAAGACTAAAATAATGTATTAAAAGAAAAATACAACTTGGGTTTGTCTAAAAATTAATGTGCTTATAATCGGGCCAGTATTTATCTTTTTCTATTTTATTCCGTGGCCAGACATAAGTGCCTTGAACCGAATCCTTGACCTCACGTCCGAAAGCAAAATAACTGAACGTTCAAGAACTCTTCTACATTACGATAAGCTTAAAATATGGCGAGGAACGTATTTTCGCCCGCTTTGCTTGTTGACTGTATATTTTTCTCAATTTTCTCCGACTACTGATGTAACGATTATCTTTCTCATAACTTGTATTATGTAAGTATATATATTCTCTAGAGTAGGAGGACGGGAATGTTAGTATTTGAGAATATATGTGTTAACTGACCTAACTTCATGTTTATCCAATCATACGATGATT